ATAATCACATATGCAATGAGCAACATAATCTTTTCTACTGTTATCATAAGTTCAGTTCTCTCTTTTGATACCTGAGGAGTTGGGTTTTGTGGAACATTAATCTCCCTCCTGTCAGTCTGTCCTTCCCCCCTTTTTACAGTACATAACTGATATTGTTGCTCCACTTCATCTTAGACACTTCAATGGCTTTCTTCCCAACTTCGCATCCCCCAAACATCGCTCTATGTTGTCCACCACAATGAACACATTCCTCCTATCTATGATCACCTCCACAATTGGGAAATCTTTTTTTTCCTTTATACAATGCCGCAACATGCCTGTATCTCTGACATTTGTAACACCTGAATGGAAGAGGGATGTAGGGCTTAACTGGAAAGCTAATGTATCCTATCTTTAGACTCTCTGGAAGTATATTTTCTTGAAATTCCATCATTACTTATAAACCTTGAACTCTTTCCGTTTTCAACTTTTCAACAAGTTTTTTATCTGATTCACCCCTAACCTGACTCCGCAAGATGGATTTGCTCCGCATATCCATCTGGAAACCTTCCGTTGAAGTAATTTTGGGAAGGGGCGAAAATACTGGTTAGCTGATTGGCCTATGTTGGTGATAAACGGGCAAAATAAACCAATCAGATCAACGAAGCATATGACGTAACAGAGCGATGACGAAGAGGAGCCAATTGATAGATCAAACTCTTGCCGAAACCAGTCGGGAGAAGAGCAAAAACATCTTTTCCTCTGAGAAAAGCCTCCAGAGCAGTGTTTTGCTCTTCTTTCATTGAAGAAATACTCTGTAATTCCGATAAAACTTGCTCGATAGCCACGCTAACGCTAGTTTCATCAGCTGAAGCCGCCATGTTCTTTAGACTGAACTGTCGCGATTCTTGTTGCGTCACACCTCAACCCGCCTCAAAGCCAACGCTGATTGGACGTTCGTTTGGTGAACGGCTCCAAATTTTCTTTAACAGAGAGTCTCCAGACTGATTAGCGAGTGAAACCTTGAAAGCTCGCGAGATCAGGATGGTCTCAAGAGGCTTATTCACCCCCACATCCCGAATGCCCTTTTTAAGTATTTCTAAATCTTTACTGACAGGTATTCCTGTTAACACTCCCCTAGTTACTTTTTTTCCTCCAAAGATCCTTGTCTTTCCTTTTTTTCTACAAATGCCTATGATGTTCAAAGCTTTGTTTTTCTGTTCTTTGGTTTTACAAATGATCATTAAACTTCAGTCTCTTAGCATCTCTTGGGGTTATCTACTTCTTAAGCTCTCTTGATAATGTAATCGGTCAAATCTGAATGTTTTCATATTCTTCTTTAAATTTAAGAATTACTTTAACTTCCTCTCGCAGAGCCGTTTTCCAAACTACAGGGGTTCCTTCATCTCAACTATTTTCTTCCAAATTTCTTTTATTGACTTTTGTCCTTAACAAACTTTTATGTATCCGCCTGAATCTACCTCTCCCTCTTCCACTAATAACATTACTCCAACTACTCAAATCCATATTATCGTCATCTTCTTCTACCTGAATCGCCACTTCAGTCCAGTCACAAACCAGTTTATAACACATCCGCTTTTTCCCAATCTTATCTCAGGATCTCAGGATATTTTCCCACAGTTTAAATAAGATACATTTTTTTAAACAAGTTTATAGTTGCTCCTCAGCAGAGACAAGCAGAATCCTCCTCTGGTGGTCCCAACACGGTGATATCCTTGTGACAAATTTTTATTTAAAATATTATAAAAACTAAACCATTTATGATAAATTTACTGAATTTAATTTTCATTAAAAATAAGTATTTCCTAGAAAAAATAATTATTTCAATGAGTTGTGGATCCCTTCAACAGAAGACTAGAAATAAAAAATACTGGAAAGTAAAAAATAAACTAAAACAAAAGGTTTGAAACTGAAGAGAACAAAACTGCTTTTGAGATTCAAGTTTCTTTGTTAAACTTTCAGGTTATTTTGTCCCGTTTCAAACTTCTACTGTTGTGTATTGGCAGCCACTCACATGAAGGGGGGGTGGATGTTATGACAGAGCTCAATGCAGAAGCTGGACTAAATGTGAATTTACTGTTGCATTTAAGAATGCAACAGAATGCTGGAGATGTCTTTAAAACATCATCGATTTTCTATGTTTATGTGATTAGTCTAAAGAAATAACACACTCTAGTGATCTAAGCTGCTTATGTCAACATATGACACAAATCTCAGAGATTTTTTTTTTTTCATAAAGCTGCACGGCATTTTCCTCCTCTCTTAAAGGAAAGCAGAGGATTTTCGAGACTTCAACAGGAACAGCCAACCACACAGCTCTACTCAGCATGGCCTCCTCTTCTTCTGGTTCTCCTGCTGGGCCCGGGGACCAGCTGATGGTATAAAGGCTGGCTGTTATTTTATCCCACAGAGAAACGGAGAGAGAAAAACGAACACAATGACTCTCGATACTTGAGTGCATCAGCTGGAAATCTTTTTTCCAGCCCTGTTTTGACCTTTAAGTCGTGATTCCAAACCACTGTGGCTTGAGGCCCCGCCCCCAATCTAGAGTCAGACGTCTGAAAGTTCAAACAGCTAAAGATGATAAAAAGCAACCACAAACACATTAATTGATTAAATATGTAAATTTAGATATGTATGTACGTGTTATGTATATTCTGAATCACTTATTAGATTAAGGATTTGCAAATTGAGGTGCAGGACTATATCAGCAATTCTTCTTCCTGCTTCCCTTTTGAACACCTGTTGATCGTTTCATAGAATATATATATATATATATATATATATATATATATTTTAGAATATATATTTTTCTCTATATCTTTTTATTTGATTTTGTTGTGTCATTTCTGTAATATGTACAGTTGTTTCATAATAAACCAAAAAATTATTTAAAAAACTATTAAGGTCATTAAATCGCTACCTACTTGATCTTCTGGGTCCTATTTTACAACTGATGTTATGAAATGAAATGAAATTATTGTTGCAAGGAAAGAACATGTTTAAAAAAAAAGAAAATTTAAAAAATAATTTCGTAAATTGAGATTGGGGAAAAATGCGATTTAGAAAATAAAGTTTAAAAAAAGACAAAGATGACAGTTTGAGAGTAACTTAACTGCATTCTTAGATTTTTCCATTTTAATATTTTAAAACATTTGTTTCATAGATGTAATAGTTTTGAATAAGATTATTTCATATTTCATAATTTTTTTAATCAAATTTAATTTTCTAATAGATCAATCAAAGATTTTTTTTAATTAAAGATTTTAGATTTTCAAATGTTCTATCAAAATGTCTTTAATTTTTTTCTTAACACATTGACAGATGTCCATGTAGACCAGGGGTCTGCAACCTTTCATATCCAAAGAGCCGTTTTGCCCAGAGTCCGACCAAGTAAAAGTTGTTTAGAGCCGCAAAATATAACGTGAGTTTTTCTAGAAAACCTTTTTTTTTAATCTTGTATAGGAAATTAGTTGTTGCCATCTCAAACAATCAACAATTCATGTATTTTTAATGTTAAAACATATCATTTTCAAGCTAATTCATAGAAAAATGTCTCTTAAAACATATTTCTGGTTCTTTTAATCTCATTCTTTTCCATTTTATAAAAAACGCTAAAGCTATTGATACCGGTATATATTATAGTAAATTATTTAGCTCTTTATATACATTTTAGCTACTATTAAGAGCCGCTGGAGAGGGTCCAAAGAGCCATATGTGGCTCCGGAGCCGCAGGTTGCAGACCCCTTATGTAGACCAATAGAAATGTGTCTCCTCTCCTAGATCTGCTAAAAGTCCGCCCCCTAAAGTGAAGAGAATATAATCTGAATATAATCTTTAAAACTTTCTTAGAAAAAATTATTTCAAAAATGAGAAAAAGAAAACATGAAAATAAAATCTGAGAAAACAGTTACTCTTAAAACCTTATTTCAATGAAAAGATTTTTTCATAATTTCATTTTTGAATTGTATTTTTTTTCTATGGAAGTAAATCTGTTTCGCTGGGATTTGAATTAAAAATGCCACTGAAATTTAGATGTTGTATGTTTGTACTTACTGTTTCAGTGTTAAACGTGACTAAGAAAGTCACGTGACTAACAAAACGTAACGGGATTGGCTGGGTGTTGGACACCACAATCCATTGCTAATGTCTGTGACCTGAAGTAACCCTTCCCTTTTTTACACTGAATTTAGATGCCGAATTTAAGACAGTGAAATAGAGCCAGTTGAATCTCAGGAGGCTGAAAATATTAAGTTTGAATTTTGAAAGGTTTAATTTGTTTTATATGCAGATTTTTTTTAACACTGAAAAATAAGTATTGAAAATGTAATCACTTTGAAATAATAATGTGAATTTTTAGCTTTTAGAGAAAATAGCAATGCTTCTGTCTCCTTGAACCCCAGTCGGCCTCGGCAGATGGCCGCTCACACTGAGTCTGGTTCTGCTGGAGGTTCCTTCCTGTTAAAAGGGAGTTTTTCCTCTCCACTGTCGCTACAAGCATGCTTAGTGTGAGGGATTGTATTTGAGTCAATGAGTCGATGCAATCAACTGGTTTTCCTTAGATAGAAAACTTTGTATCAATTTGACTGGATGATCTGGTTGAACTGTAAAGTGCCTGGAGATGACATGTGTTGTGAATTTGGCGCTATAGAAATAAACTGAATTGAATTGAACAAATGAAATTTCAATGGTGTAGAAATAATGACAATGAATTTTTTTTTAGGCCAAAAATGTGTTCTGAATATATTTTAACACTGAAACAGTAAGTACAAACATACATTTAAATTTCAGTGGCATTTTTAATTCAAATCCCAGCGACACAGATTTACTTCCATATTTTCACTTAAAATTAATTGCAGCTTTACAGTAAAAACAATATTAATGTTTCTTGTGCTGTCGTGCCGAAATGTGTAGAAATTCAATATTTTTACTAACTGTATGTAACAGTATTTGTAAAAGCTAGGGTAAGATTATTATTATTTTTTTTTTTGGTCATGGAGCTCCAATAATCTACAGCGAAAATATAAAAAAAACATCAAATTTAATTGCACATTGTGTATGTACAGCACAGCCGTAAACAAGATACCACACGCATGACACGATATGATCCAACTGCCCATGGATACAAGTCTGTCTGTGGCAAGACGAGAGTAAAAATCCTCAAGAGGGGAGCCATTAGCTGCAGAGTTTGTTAGCCTCGTACTCTGTGTAGTTTGGATGTTTGGCACTGAAAGCTTGCAGGGCAGTGAGTATCCTCGTCACGTCGGCGCTGGACAGTTTGAGCCTGTGACGGAGCAGACAGGCGAACAGGTCCACGTGTGGCCCCCCCGGGGGAGAGAGGCGGTTCACCCTGTAGCGTAGCTCCACCAGCTGCAGCAGCGCTGAGTCCTGTGATCCCTGAGTGTACGGGTAGTCTATCTGCAGGATCAGGTCCTGGATGGCTTCGTGGTCAAAGTGCACGCTGTACCCAAAAAGCTGCATGCTGTTGACCTTCATGTAGCCGATGTTGTTGGAGGGCTCGGAGTCCTCAGGGGGGTCGTTGTACACACTCGCGTTCTTATTTCCTCCTGCAGAGTCCCGGCTGTAACTCCTCAAATAAAAATGAACTGTCTCAAAAAAGCTTTTCCACCTGTTTCCCAAAGTCAGTGTCCAGTTGTAGCAGTCCAGGGGGATGTCCAGCTTGATCCGATCCCAGTCAGGGTAACCATGTTGACCTATGGGCATGGTCCAGCTCTCAGAATGGCTGCCGCCAAATGGATTGACAAACAGCGACAGTGTTGGCTCCAGAGTGCTGTTCCTGGTGAGGCAAAACTGCAAGGTGAGTCCGAGGAGCATGTGAACTCGATTGGATTTCACTCTGTTGCTCTTAAGCGTGAGCAGCATCCTCTTTCGCCAAGAGGGATCGAACCAGGTGTTTATGCGCACGTCATTGCTCACAAACACGCCGTGCAGAGCCAGCCGAAGGTCACGCCGCTGGATCAGGAAGCGCAGCTCCAGATCCTGCAGATCTCTGTCGCTTTCCATGCCCAGGTAAGGGTCAGTGGAGTCGGGCACCGCGGGGCGGCAGACCCCTTGGGTCAGGGTGAATCCTGGGTTACAGCTGGAGCATCGAGTGCGGTTTTCCGTAGAACAGGAGGCACAGCGGGGACCATCCCCCACGGAGCAGGGGAATAGGCCCTGGCACGGCGGGTGCTCGTAGGGGCAGGAGCAGCTGTGGCTCTTCTCACTGTAAACACCGACTTGCTTGTTCTCGCTGCAGTACAACATGGAGAGAGCGTAGTTCAACCAGAAGTGCAGGGTCCTGAGGGAGAGATGACAAGCGTTTTAATACACGTCAAGTTGAGAGACCCTGCACTGCTCTATCAGGTCCATAAAGAGAACAAAAACTACATTAGCCATAGTTTTCCTCCTTTAAGCATATTATGCATGAAGTGGCATTTAGTTCTACATTAATGGGGAAATGTCACACTAAAGAGCAATAAACTTGAAAACTCTTGAAAATGTGAAATGTAGATAAATCACAGCCGGCCTTTTCATCGTCTCTCGAAGCAGGTGGGTTTAAAACACACCAAAAATGAGCCTTTGGAGCTTTTCTCTCCAAACAATAGAAAAAGAAAACACTACTCTACTGCAATGCTTTCTTTACAACCTATTGTTGTAAAAACAAAATAGTGTTTTCTTGACAAAACAGGGATACTTTAAATGGATGTGTGGCCACCAGCTCACTGACGGCTCAGAAAAGGTTGAAGGGAACACTCTGACTTTACCAAACACGGGAAAGAGAAACTGGAGATTTTTAAGAGTAAACAGGTTGAAGACGACAGATATATCCTGTCTGTCTCTCTGTTAGAAAGAGATCCTGGAGAGTTGCAGCTATTAGAATATTATCTTCAAAGGAAGAACAAGAATAAAGGATGAGGACACAGCACAGATCACACAAAACAAGCTCAAGGAAAGTCAGCAGCCAGACCATTGAGGCGATTTAAGTGTCGTTTGTGAGCATAAAGTGTCCGTTCAGTTTTTTTCTATCTAAACAAGACATGAGCTGATATTCAGAGATCTTGTCAAGTTCATGTGCAACATTAGCTAAAGAGTGACTTGTTTTAATGTCTGAGTCAAACAAATGCCAATTTGTACATTCATGAGTTTTCCTCCATTCTAAGCAACAATTTAGCTTGAATTTACCTTTTAGGGAAAAACGTGAGAAAATGACCTGCAGGAGTTGGGTTTAAGATGAAAGTTAGAGTCCTTAAAAATTCAGAAATCACGCAAACCATCATGTGTTAAAACAGTGTATTTCACTGTTGCTATGCTTAAGACAACAACTGCAGGACTTCCAGTTAGGAATGTTCTTTCGATGAAAGTTTAGCACCTGAGCTGCATTGCTGGTCAGAACTAGAGACTAAATTACATCATGGACCAAAATGCTGAGAGAATTTCTCTGTTTCGAATTTTAGCATTTTTCTTATTTTGTAAGAAACAGTCCACTGTGGCCAATTACTGTTGGAAAGGGCTTAGTATTAAATCCCCTGGTAGTCTGCAAGTCTGTTAGATGTCACAGCTACCCACCCAAGCTGGTTTCTCTCCACTTTTTCAAAAAGTGTTCTGTTCTGATGCCAAAGTTCTGAAATGAATAGGCAATGACATCAATATCTGGTGACTTTTGGTGACTTCTAACATGGAAATAATGAGAGGAAGGAAGGAAGGAAGGAAGGAAGGAAGGAAGGAAGGAAGGAAGGAAGGAAGGAAGGAAGGAAGGAAGGAAGGAAGGAAGGAAGGAAGGAAGGAAGGAAGGAAGGAAGGAAGGAAGGAAGGAAGGAAGGAAGGAAACCTTGATCCATTAGATTCAGGCGATGGACAAGAAATGCATCTAAATGTTGCGCGTCTTCCAACTCCTGTTCTTTCCCACTCGCCATACCCACACAATTCTCCACAACAACAGATTTTTTTCTGCTACACCTGGCTACGCTGCTTCGCTTCTTCTTCTTCTTGTTGACTACTGGTGGTTGGCTTTGGTCGCAGTATCGCCACCTTCTGCTCTGGAGTGTAAACGCTTCGCCTATGAGAAAAAGGAGCAGCGCATGAACTGAACGCAATACACGCGAATCGAACCGCTACAGTCAAACCGAACGGTTCAGACGGTTTTCATAAACCTTTTCATCCCTAATATATGTATATATATATAGATATACACTATATTGCCAAAAGTATTTGCTCACCTGCCTTGACTCACATATGAGCTTAAGTGACATCCCGTTCCTAATCCATAGGGTTCAATATGACGTCGGTCCACCCTTTGCAGCTAGAACAGCTTCAACTCTTCTGGGAAGGCTGTCCACAAGGTTTAGGAGTGTGTTTATGGGAATTTTTGACCATTCTTCCAGAAGCGCATTTGTGAGGTCGCACACTGATGTTGGACGAGAAGGCCTGGCTCTCAGTCTCCGCTCTAATTCATCCCAAAGGTGTTCTATCGGGTTGAGGTCAGGACTCTGTGCAGGCCAGTCAAGTTCATCCACACCAGACTCTGTCATCCATGTCTTTATGGACCTTGCTTTGTGCACTGGTGCACAGTCATGTTGGAAGAGGAAGGGGCCAGCTCCAAACTGTTCCCACAAAGTTGGGAGCATGGAATTGTCCAAAATGTCTTGGTATGCTGAAGCATTCAGAGTTCCTTTCACTGGAACTAAGGGGCCAAGCCCAGCTCCTGAAAAACAACCCCACACCATAATCCCCCCTCCACCAAACTTTACACTTGGCACAATGCAGTCAGACAAGTACCGTTCTCCTGGCAACCGCCAAACCCAGACCCGTCCATCAGATTGCCAGATGGAGAAGCGCGATTCGTCACTCCAGAGAACGCGTCTCCACTGCTCTAGAGTCCAGTGGCGGCGTGCTTTACACCACCGCATCCGACGCTTTGCATTGCACTTGGTGATGTATGGCTTGGATGCAGCTGCTCGACCATGGAAACCCATTCCATGAAGCTCTCTGCGCACTGTTCTTGAGCTAATCTGAAGGCCACATGAAGTTTGGAGGTCTGTAGTGATTGACTCTGCAGAAAGTTGGCGACCTCTTCGCACTATGCGCGTCAGCATCCGCTGACCCCGCTCCGTCAGTTTACGTGGCCTACCACTTCGTGGCTGAGTTGCTGTCGTTCCCAAACACTTCCATTTTCTTATACAGGTGCTGGTCATAAAATTATAATATCATGAAAAAGTAGATTGATTTCAGTAATTCCATTTAAAAAGTGAAACTTGTATATTATATTCATACATTACATACAAACTCATATATTTCAGATGTTTATTTTGTTTAATTTTGATGATTACAAATGACAACAAATGAAAATCTCAAATTCATCATATCAGAAAATTAGAATATTGTGAAAAGGTTCAAAATTGATGGCCCCTGGTGCCACACTCTAATCAGCTAATTAACTCAAACCACCTGCAAAAGCCTTTAAATGGTCTTTCAGTCTAGTTCTATAGGCTACACAATCATGGGGAAGACTGCTGACTTGACAGTTGTCCAAAAGACGACCATCGACACCTTGCACAAGGAGGGCAAGACACAAAAGGTCATCGCTAAAGAGGCTGGCTGTTCACAGAGCTCAGTGTCCAAGCACATTAATAGAGAGGCGAAGGGAAGGAAAAGATGTGGTCGAAAAAAGTGTACAAGCAAGAGAGATAACCGCACCCTGGAGAGGATTGTGAAACAAAACCCCTTCAAAAATGTGGGGGAGATTCACAAAGAGTGGACTGCAGCTGGAGTGAGTGCTTCAAGAACCACCACACACAGACGTATGAAAGACATGGGTTTCTGCTGTCGCATTCCTTGTGTCAAGCCACTCTTGAACCACAGACAGCGTCAGAAGCGTCTTGCCTGGGCTAAAGAGAAACAGGACTGGACTGCTGGTGAGTGGTCCAAAGTCATGTTCTCTGATGAAAGTAAATTTTGCATTTCCTTTGGAAATCAAGGTCCCAGAGTCTGGAGGAAAAGAAGAGAGGCACTTCATCCACGTTGCTTGAAGTCCAGTGTAAAGTTTCCACAGTCAGTGATGGTTTGGGGTGCCATGTCATCTGCTGGTATTGGTCCATTGTGTTTTCTGAGGTCCAGGGTCAACGCAGCCACATACCAGGAAGTTTTAGAGCACTTCATGCTTCCTGCAGCTGACCAACTTTTTGGAGATGCAGATTTCATTTTCCAACAGGACTTGGCACCTGCACACAGTGCCAAAGCTACCAGTACCTGGTTGAAGGACCATGGTATCCCTGTTCTTAATTGGCCAGCAAACTCTCCTGACCTTAACCCCATAGAAAATCTATGGGGTATTGTGAAGAAGAAGATGCAATACACCAGACCCAACAATTCAGAAGAGCTAAAAGCCACTATTAGAGCAACCTGGGCTATCATAACACCTGAGCAGTGCCACAGACTGATCGACTCCATGCCACGCCGCATTGCTGCAGTAATACAGGCCAAAGGAGGCCCAACTAAATACTGAGTGCTGTACATGCTCATACTTTTCATGTTCATACTTTTCAGTTGGCCAACATTTCTATAAATCCTTTGTTTTTATTGGTCTTCAGTAATATTCTAATTTTCTGATATGATGAATTTGAGATTTTCATTTGTTGTCATTTGTAATCATCAAAATTAAACAAAATAAACATCTGAAATATATGAGTTTGTATGTAATGTATGAATATAATATACAAGTTTCACTTTTTAAATGGAATTACTGAAATCAATCTACTTTTTCATGATATTCTAATTTTATGACCAGCACCTGTAATACAGCTGACAGTTGACTGTGGAATATTTAGGAGCGAGGAAATTTCACGACTGGATTTGTTGCACAGGTGGCATCCTATCACAGTTCCACGCTGGAATTCACTGAGCTCCTGAGAGCGACCCATTCTTTCACAAATGTTTGTAAAAACAGTCTGCATGCCTAGGTGCTTGAATTTATACACCTGTGGCCATGGAAGTGATTGGAACACCTGATTCCAATAATTTGGATGGGTGAGCAAATACTTTTGGCAATATAGTGTATATATATAGATATATATATATACACAGTAGCTCCAACTTCCAGCCGCTGTAGTGACCCTCTTTTGCATATCTTTTTAAATCTGACCCCGCCCACCACTGAATTATTCATGTTTAAAATGGAATTGTAGGGGACCAGCCAATGACCAGCAACCATCAAGGAAAGTGAAGAAATTTTGATTGGCTACTACTGTAGAGAGAGAGAGAGAGAGAGAGAGAGAGGCAGTGAAAAAACAAGGGAACTAAAGAATAATCTAACATTTCCAAAACAATAATAAGCATAAGGACATGAGCTGAAGAAGGAAAACCTAAAGAGAACATTAACTTTCAGAGAAAAAGTCTAAACCAGTGGTCTCCAACCCTGGTCCTCAAGATCTGTCATACAGATTTTAGATGCATCCCTGCTTCAACACAGCTGAATCAAATGATTTTCAAGCCATTCATTTGGTTCAGCTGTGTTGAAGCAGGGATGCATCTAAAATCTGTAGGATAGTAGATCTTGAGGACCAGGGTTGGAGACCACTGGTCTAAACATTGCAAGTTAAGCTGCAACCTTGAGAGATAATTTGACCAAAACTAAGAAGCCAAAACCAGATGCAGTAATCCAGCCCCTAAAACATGATCCCACCTTTACTGAGCTTTACACTTCAAAAAAAGAAAAAAAAAAAAACTCCTGTTTTGTCAGCATTCAGCCCAAAGTCATCGGTGGGATCTTTAGTATCCAGGAAATTTGGATGCATTGCTCAGATAGTATTGGTATCACAATACCATTCAGGAATCCACTTAGCTCAATTTCACTAAGAATGTTTTTTGGGACAGTCTGCATATAGATCTGCTGGAGTTTTTAAATCTGTGGTCCAAATGGCTCGAACTAGAGGTGGAAATTTATCTTATCGTTTATCCCTATTATGATTGTGACAAAAAGTTTGATTAACCGTCTAAGCCAGGAGTCTTTAACGTTTTCCTTGGCCAAGGACCCCCAGGACTGATGGCAAGATGGAGTGGAGAACCCGTAATTTCATATGTTGTATGAAATTGTGTTATATCAAACTGGTTCTATAGTCACTCTTTTTACAGATGGAGTGATGTAATGAAAGTAATGACACCCTGGGATTATTAAAATATTTCTGACTCTGAGTTCTTGCTAATGGGACAGGTGTTATGAATGAAACGGTGCCCAGCTTGAAAGAGTATGTTGAAGTCATGTTAATGTGTAATTAATTCAATTAGTGGAAAAATTGCAAAGGGGGAATATAAAAAAAAAAGTCTAATCAACCAAAATTTTCGCTATCCCCATGCAGTACCTCCGAAGATCCCCTAGGGGTCGCAGACCTCTGTTTAAAACCTTCGGTCTAAATGATAAATCAGAATAAACAATGTTTAAAAAGTCCAAAAAAGGATGAATAGCTAGAAATGTTCTTTTTTCCAAAATTTGACGAAATAATAAAGTAATTAAGTAATTAAACATCATAAATGTGGTATGTTTAGTGATATATATCACACATCTTTATGTAACTGGTGTCCTGAAGATTATTTTTAACATGCATTTTTTTAAGAGCAATGTTTGTGATTGTGGGGCTACGATCACTATGGCATGCAGACAAAGCCATACATTTACCTAAAAAAAGACAAATAAATAAATGAAAAGGCTCTTTTTTAATTGTCAACTTTATCGTTTTAATGATAGTACCAAAAAATATCATGATAACATTTTAAATTCATGTCGCTCAGCCCTAATTTAAACACCTGAATTCAATCAGTGGTGTCTCAGAGGTGCTGTCGGCCTGGAGTGAGGAAGCAGAAGGATTATAGGAGAAGAAAACTGATGGCTCCTGTGTTATTTAGCTAATTTCCCTGCCAGAAATGTCTTTCAGAAGTCGATGTGAGAGCCAGGAACGAGAGCGTCCAGGTGGGAGTGCTGCTGAAATGACAAACCAGATGAGACCAACTTATCTACCTCTGCAGCAGCTTTTTCTGACATGTTTTCATAGAATAAATAAAATATTTGGCAAAAAGTCCAAGTTGCCATATTTAGATGTGTTCTTTGCAAAAAGGAACTGCAGGTGGTTAGAAATGTTTGTTGTTTTCTGCCAAACTCCAGCCCCATTGTCTTCTGGGGAAAGCAGCTTTGCTCCCGTCAGCACTTTCGCAACCTCTCTCACCGGCTACTTTTCCTCAAGTGCCTTCTAATAAGCACCGTCTTGCTCTGCTGCTTTCTCTCTCCGCCTCGTGCATAAATCATTCTCATAATTATAGGTTGAGCGGAGCAGCTTGGGTTAACATGCGTATTCCTTACTCTCGTCCCCAGTCTTACCTCGGCCTCGGCAGGATAATCCTCGGCGGCTTTCGGCACCTCTTGCTGAGGCTGAAGAGCTTGTTAGTCGTGCGGCGAGCTCTGGCGAGGAGCTGCTTGCTGCTGCTCTCCAGCTGCCTGTAGCGCTGCAGAAGGCCTGCATCCATCCTCCACAGGTACTCCACGACAGATGTGTTGACGGCGTAGTGGACCGGCAGTTTCCCAACGAAGCCGAGGAACTCCTCTGGTATGAAGGAGAAAATGATTAAACAAAGTCTGCCTGTAGCTATAAGCCCAAGGATTAATAACACCCAGAAAGCTCTACCCTTCACTGTTTGCTCAAGACAATCAACCAGCTAAGCAGCCTTAACGATGGCAGTCCAGCGGAAGGAAAACATGTTGACATATTCAAATCTTCTTTGCTGATCAGCTCAGAAAACAAGCAGCGTTATTTGTCTATTTAAAACATTATCAATGTTAAAATAAGATATGAAATGATTTATTAGCAACTTAACATAAGTTACAAAATATTTAAACACATATATTTTAAAATAACATGGTTAAATATTCTTCACTTCAATAATACAATGGAGTTGTTATATTTCAAATTTTATGGGTAGATTCTCATTTTCCATTGGCATTCTGTCTTACTCACCTGCATAAATCAAAGGAAAATACACTGATTGCAAGAACAAGTTACCTATTTTAAATTTAATTTTGGGAGGTAAGGCCAAAATGGTGAGGCTTAATACTCTTCCGTCTAGGTTGGAGGAGTGTGCTTGTGCTCTGAGAAGGTTGTAAGTACCCAGTTCGTTCCCCACAAATTAACCCAGTTGTTGCAGAGGTAAATTTCTCCAGTTTGAGATCAATAAAGATCAAAGATCAATTATTAAAACAGACCAGACCAATCACAGCGCAGGAGGAGGGCCCATGATTGCAGCTGCAAAGGAAAAATGTTTTTAAATGATGCGTAACATCTGTAACCTGACTCTGCCAGATGGATTTGCTCCGCATATCCATCTGGAAACCTTCGGTTGAAGTAATTTTGGGAAGGGGCGAAAATACTGGTTAGCTGATTGGCCTATGTTGGTGATAGACGGGCCAAATAAACCAATCAGATCAACGAAGCATATGACGTACTAACAGAGCGACGACGAAAACACAACCACAAGCCAAGCTACTCTTGCCGAAACCAGTCGGGAGAAGAGCAAAAACATCTTTTCCTCTGAGAAAAGCCTCCAGAGCAGTGTTTTGCTCTTCTTCCGGTGAAGAAATACTGTGTAATTCAGATAAAACTTGCTCGATAGCCACGCTAACGCTAGTTTCATCGGCTGAAGCCGCCATGTTCTTTAGACTGAACTTTCGCGCTTCTCGTTTCATCACACCTCAACCCGCCTCAAAGCCAACGCTGATTGGACGTTCGTTTGGTGAACGGCTCCAAATTTTCTTTAACGGAGAGTCTCCAGACTGATTAGCGAGTGAAACCTTGAAAGCTTGCGAGATCAGGATGGTCTTACAAGTCTATAACATCTGTAGTTACATGACTAGTACTGAACTCTTTCTGCTGACTCTGTTAGTCCCCCCTTTAACATCACGCTCTACCTGCTTGTTATCACGCTTATCAGTCGAGCACTTGCCGCAAATTTGTCTGGCCGATCAGGCTAGCAAATACTGATCTAAAAATAATTACAAATTTAGAAAAATGTATTTCCCCCTAATTGGAGCAAGCAAATAAGATGATTTGTCAATTAAACAAGCATTTCTGTCCTAATTATTAGATAATTAGATGGTGTTTATTTTTTCTTGTTTTAAAAGCAAATTGTCTCATTCCTTTGGGAAATGCTCTTACTTACTGTATTCGCTTAAATCAATTAAAAATAGAACAGTTTAAAGAAACGACTTACTTATATCTCATTTTTTTCAGCACTGTTTTTAAGCATTTTTCTGTTTTTTTTATCCTGATGGTTCGTCTGATGTGCTTGGCTGTGATGTTTTTTCCTCTCTGAGTAAATGCCTTTTTTTACCCTGGCTTTGAATTTTCAGTTTGCTTTAAAAAAAAAAAAAAAAAGGTAGGAACTTAAACGCTCGATGTTGTTAAAATGCTGAAAGAGATAAATTAACAGCATTAACTAAAAGCTATTCACCCCAGGAGCCAGTTAATTAATTGGATTTTAATTAATTAAAGGTATAATTTCATAAAAAGGTTACAAACACTGTTAATTTAGATTTATAGACTATAGAACTGTGTATCTCTTAAGCATATTTTGGGCTTCCCTCACATGTTTTCTGTGCATAAGACATTAGAAGAAACACAGTATTTTGAACTAGTTGAACATGTTGATTAAATTTTTCATTAAAAATCTGTTTTTAAAGAATATTAATGCTTGTGTTTTGAATGCTTGTTGTTGGACTGACTTTTAAAAAGGTGGCACAGAAGGAACAAAAAAAAACAGAGTGCTGCTACAGTGGAAAATTGAGGCCCCGTCCACACGAAGTCAAAACGAACATGAAACGCTAATATTTTCCAGAACGTTTGGCAGGGTGAGTAGCATGAGCAGCAACCATTCAACACAGTATGGCGCCATTGTTGTTGTGATACTGTGTCGCGCATGCGTGTTTAGAGGCGACGCTATGACGCATGCGTGTAAAAAAAAAAATGCGGTTAGAGCTTAAAGATGGAAACGCGAAAACGGTGTTTCAAAATCTTCCCACTCTGAACTGAAGGCTTAATAAAAAAAAGATAATTTACAGACCCCGAAACGCCGGCTTCGTATGGATGAGAGGCTGGTTTGGTGAAAAATTTGTGCGTTCAGGCCAGGGTTCGACTTCGTGTGGACGGGGCCTTAGTTCCACTGTTGCCTTGCAGGAAAAAGGTCCTGGCTAACAAAGAACCCAAATGACCCCCATTCCAAAGGGGTGGGCTCATTCGTCTGGTGCGATTTGCATGTTTTCTAAGCCAAAACAAGGCTTTGTGTTTTGTCCACTCTATAAAACCTTGAACTCAACGCTATTTCTGACATTTTTAATTGAAAAAGCTTCCTGGTTGGAAAGTGAATCCTCTTAAAACTGACTCGGACTTGGATGAGTTAGAATCTTCACCAGCATAAGGTCTTGAGTTTCAAACCCACAATGATTTCTTTCTGGATAAAATTTGAGCTTTCTCTTTGTGCTTATATAGTGTCCTTCCAGTTACTCTTACTAACACCAACAGTTCAATAGCATGACTGTTAGATAAAAAAAAAAATATGGTATGTTTACATGGAAATAAGTTATCTGAATGATGGCCAATTGGCCAGAGGAGTAAAATCGTAATTCGACACAAAGGTTTGTTTTTATGGCGATTAACATTCCGATCAGCCTGCATTTAAAAGTTTTTCAGGATCAAGTTATTCAAAAGAAGGTAAGCTGAGCTGAGTGTGCATGTGAACGTCTACTCAACGTGACGTATTTCTGCTTTCGGTGGCTAGTCGCTAGTCAGAGTATTTCAACTGGAATGTTTTAATGACACGTAGGACTTGACCTTCAGAATATTTGTATGTCCTAAATCAAATGTAAATGTGTTTCCAGGCCTAGAGCAGATGTTCAAAGAAGGTGCAAAGTGATTTGTTTTTTGTGTTTAGGCAGAAAGCGTGTGCAAAACATTTTATTCACTTTTGTGCCTTCAGCAATATACAGATCATATTTCAATGGAAAAAAAATTACAAATTCCTGGCTAAGCAACAATGCTATTTTTTGCATTTTTTTAGTACTTCAAAAAGGGAGGAACAAACGGAGACACAATATCTGCAATAACTGTTGCCACAAAGGAGGCATTGGTGCAATGTCAGGCAATGGAAAGAGATTCTATGGTAATGTTAAACATATTTAGACCGTCAAAAATAACATTTGAAGTTTAATATATAATTTTAACTATTAAACATGAGGGCATAAAGAACTGAAATCTTTTCATAATCCAACCAAAGCAAAACGATGACTTAGCTGAAATATTGCGGCATGTTTATTAAAAAAAAATTATATCAAAAGAGCCCTTAAAAAAAAACGTGAAACAATTTCTCTTGAAATAAGTGTATTTTCCTTTGCTAATAAAGTTACATAGTTATACATATCTGACATCTAAATGAAACCACAACACACTATACAAATTAAATGCGTTTGTCAGGGTTCTTTAATTGCATAAAAAACACCTAGATGACCTTCAAAGACCGATAATCCCTATAATACTTTAAAAACAAGGTCTGAAAAAAATTTTATTCTGTAATAAATTACTGTATTTTCATTTGTCAGTTGACGATAAATATACTAACATGTAAATGGGAAATTTGTCAGGATATTCAACTGGGTAGAATCTGCTGCAACCCTCTGGTTTAGAAGGGAACCGCTTGTTCAATTGGTGGTGAATTACGGTCACATTTGAACAACAAATCCCTTGCTAGGGAGGCTTCGGGTGGTCAATGATTGGCTAGGGACTACTTCCTTTAGCTACGCCCCCCACACATTAGTTAAAAAAAAGGAGTTTGTAACTTGTTTCAGAGAAGAGCCACTTGGATTGTATTTAAACTATTTTTCTATGATAAATTGTAGGATACCATGCAAGTGAGCACAGTATAACAGCAAAACAAACAAGCAACAAAAAAACAACAGCCAGTTGTAAGTCATTGTTTTTTGAGATAAGCAGAAGACCATAAGTACTAGTACAAATATTTTAAGTCTTTTAGGAACTAATATTTTCCCATGGTATTGTATTCATGGTCATAATTGTACTTCAGAAACATGATGGACGAGTCCCTCTCTAGCTGCATGAATGTCTTTTTCATGTCTTTTACTTGCCCTTATCTACTCCTTGGGTTATGCCACAAGACTTGATTTTAATGCAACTAAACTGCTTGTTTTTATGTAAAAAATGTATGCAAAATAAAATTTTGACTTATTTAGGGTTTTGTTAGTTAAAAATAACTGTGTTCATGGTAAAGTATTGATGCTATTAAACTTTTTGGGGGGCTAGTCCGGGATACTGCACCGAGGCTGAGAGATAAGTTTTGAGAGCCTAAAGGAGCCCACCAAAAGGTGCATGTCTCAGTTGGCAGTGAAACCACTGATGAAACCCTATCGAGGCCATAGTTTGAGATACTTGTGACCGAAGTAAATTAAGTATTTACTGCTGGATATAATGTGGTAAATTAACAGGAACATTTAGCCTTTGACTTCAGCTAGCAGAAATTAGTCCTTGTAGTTTCAGAATGTTATCATTTAATATAAGTAGCTCTTTGCTGTACACTCATGTCTCTCCTGTTGTTCGTCTGCAGGAACAATCAATACAACCTAAATACCAACCCACCTTACTGCTCCTCACCCAATCAGCATCAGTTTCCCTCTATCTCAGCACTACTGCACTTACCCTGTTCCAAAACAGAAAGCAGCTCTAGCTTTTTAATTCAAAAAAGACACTGGAAATTTATTATGTACGTTTAAACCTGATTCTGCTCAGGGCCTCATTCAGTCTTGTGCATCAGCATCAAGGGGAAGGAGCTTTCTGTTCATATTAGGAGAAATCCTGTGATTAAAATCCATCATGTCAGTACATTTTAGACCAAATCCCTGTAGGCTTTTGAACATCAAATTTCAAAAGCACGAGGTTGCTTTTCTTTTCAACAGAGCTTGGATGATTTTGCCAAACCCCGCCACTAGGCAATAACATTTCTCTCTGCTCAGTCTCCCTCTAGCCATGGTTCGCTCTTCTTCTGCATGATCAGTGAATGCAAGGCCAGAGTTTTTGTTTGAGAACAATCTTTGTAGCTAAGCCGGCAAGTGCATCCTTTTCCATAACTTGCTGCAGTAAGAAGACATATACCAAAACATCATTAACACAAAGCATCACAACCTCCCCCCATGGAAGGTTTCTGCACGGTACATTTAGAGAGTGCTTAATACGTGTCAGGGAGACCTTGTCAAACCTATGTAATGTCCATCGACTTTCTGGTCTAATTTGTTTTACTCTAGCGCGATGTTTACTCTGTGTCAAGGGGGCCTAGGTAGCATATTTTTTCTGATAAGTCATAAATGTGTCTCATATGTTAGATCGGGTCTGATAAATGTGCTGGTATTTTTGGGCAATATTCCAGCAGTGAGGAGGAACATATCTGCATTTCCTTTCAGTCACGGTTTAAAGCTCTGATTTGCTCAGTCTTTGGAAATGACAGACTGATGCTGAGGCTTGAGATTTAAAAGTGGAGATACTGTTACTTCTGTTTGTTCCACATTTTATTTATGGCAAATATTCAAAGGTGTTCAAAAGGCTGCTGATCAATCCCATGATGACACTGTGTCTGCAGCGCTGTCTCAGAAATTCAAGAAAAGAGGCATAATGAGATGTTCTGTGTTATGGCTTGTTATTTCTTTTGTTGGGAAGCTCTTTGTTGTTTATAAGGTTAAGGTAGGTTTATAAGCATGCCTGGGGAATGTGGAGTAAGCTTCTTAACATCAGTGGTTTGATGCATTAAAGGCCCCCGGAATTACTGCTACTTATTTTAAAAGGTCTCATTGAAACAATGAGACCTTTGTTCCTTTATCATTAAATTGATTACCACTCTGACTTAAAACACTCACATATTAAAAAGTTTTCAGATTAAATGTAAATTGGTCTAAAAATACAACATTCCCAAATCATGCTCCATACAGTAGATACCCTGCTCTGCATTGTAGGTTTTAGAGGTCTCCATCCTGCCAAACACGATTAATAGGAGTCAGTGTTTCTTTTTAAAGGGGAGTGAATTTCCTTTCATTAATGTTTCAAGGATGTTTTATAAATGGAAATTTGAAAAAAAAGTAATCCAAAATGAAATGTTGAAAAATGTTAATTAATAAAAAAGGTTCTGAAATAAACTGCTGTTTTGTCAGAATGTTTTTTTAATATTTTATTTCTTAAAAGTCTTTTTTTTTTTTTTGGTTATTTCTTTTTACTTTTACAGATTAATAAAAAAATCACTCTCTCAGCCACCTCTTTTACTCCTGGGCGGGAGGAGTAGGGGGCTTCTTCATTTCAACATGGGGTCCTCTACCGGAAGCCTGGGAGCTTGAGGGTTGTTCACAGTACCTTAATTGTCCCTGCAACTGCTCATTTCTGCACTGATATTTCTGATATTTCTCCAGGTTTCTATTGGAGAAACTTAAGTGTTGGGCTTCACTGCCTCCATTGCTCCGATGACCATGGCACTACAGTGGCTTTCATCTTCTAGGATCTTTCTAGCCCTTTCCTAATGTTAATGTTAATATCATGTAAATTTTTCCTGACGTTTCCATCATTTGGGACCGATCAATGATCACAATATCCAGTTGGTTGAACACAACCATTTTGTCTGTATCTGGAAGCCCCACAGGATCTTAGCTCTGTCATTCTTCACCATCTCGGGGGGTGGCTCCCATTGTGACTTGGGGGTCTCCAGTTTATATTGTGCACAGATGATTCAGTACACTATACCAACCACTTGGTCATGACACTGGTGTCCTGCATCTTTTAGATGAATCTCTACTTAAATCCATCTGGAATCAAACAATTATGTACTTTGCAGGACTCAGGAGAATGTGACTTCAACTGAGGAGGTAATTAAGCTTTTTAATTTAATCCGTGTTAGACCAGGGAGATATCTAGAAGCTGCAGGATACTGGCCATGGAGGATTTGAGTGTGACATGCCTCCTCCTGCAGTTCTGGCATTAGTCAGAACAAGGTCTGGCTCATGAAACTGAGCTCATCTTTTCAAACAACAGAAAGGTTGATCACAGTTAATCAATAATTGGAAGGTGTAATACATTTTCCATATGGGGTGAAGGTAGTATTCATAGTTTTTCACCTTGATTGTAAAAAAACAAAAAAACAACAAAAAACAGCATCATATTTACATTTGAGTTATTGTTGTCCAAAATGAAATTTTTTTTTATATTATTTTAAACATTTAAGTGGCCCTGCAACAAACTGGCGACCTGTCCACAGACTGCCAGAGATAGGCACTGACCCCACCATAAACCTGACGAAATAGGTGGGAGAAGATGTCTGGATGGATGGATGATATGCAAGTCTTACCAAGAAAACAAGACACCATCGGTCTTTTAGGAACCAATATATTTTCTTGGTATTGTATTTATGTTTTTTGATGTATTTTGTTTAAAGCTACTGCTTCTGACAGTTTTGTGTAATTAATTAAAACAAACACTAACAAATAAGCACTTATTTAGGGACTTTTAGTTGTGAATTTTAAACATGCTAAATAAGTTATACCATAAAACCTTCTTGGGGGCTTATCCGGGATTCTGGACCCGAGCTGCGCCCGAACTGCTCAAAGCCTTAAAGAACCTAGAAGTTACCCTGTTTTTTCTTGGTGGGCAGGGAAACCACTGTGGAGACCAAAGACCTATCTGAAAGGCTGAAATGTTAAATCTGTTTACTTTTTTTTGCACACACCTAGTTTCTGCCATATATGATTTGGAAACTATAGAACTCTGAATAGCTCTCACCTAAATAATGTTTCTTTAGAAAATTACTCCAAGACAACACTTGTTTCCCATCTCATAATAGTTTTTCACTTGCTCAAGACATTCAAGCTGAAATCCTGGTGTCAATGTAATTTCCATATTCTATTATTTTCATGTAGCGTCTCCCCCCTTATGTTTCAATCTGACTCTTTTTTTATGTCTTCTCCCGCTGCTTTTTGTCAGGAAGCCATTTATGCAAAGATAATCTTTTTCAGTTATATAGGGGGGAAAGATTTATAGCTTCAAACTGTTCATTGTGTAAAAATGATGACTTGAAAAATGATGGTGTTCTCACATCATGTTTTACCAGCTGGAAACAGAAGAAATATGAAGATGAAGATGTGTCGGTGCAAACAAATTTCACAATTCAGCAAGTCATATTTCTTTTCTGTCTTCAAATAATTTAGACTGCAGTGATTTTACACGCTGTAGAATTTTTTCTCCCCTCCAATAAATTTTTTTTGTTCTTGCACTTAAACACTTTTGGTCAAAACACATTGTCTATCTAAGAATCTACCAAGCCTCTTACAGCATAGATGCATCAAAACAATCACTAAAAGCTAATTGTTAGTTCTATGAACCCAGACACTCCTGAACAAGCCAACGCTATCTTCGCAGAGGAGTCCATTTAAGGGAAAATATCTTTTTAGTTATTATTTTTTTGTAGAAATGTATTTATTTGTCACAGAAAAGTGACTACCTTCGCTCTGAACCCAAGACAGGAAGATGTTTTAAAAGCCAATTTTCCATCTGTATGTTTCTATTCCCACTCAAAGAGCTACTCAAGCTGACATTTTCATTTTCCATTTGTTAAGGTTAAAATTAACTTGTTACTCACCAGATTCTTCAAACTCTTTGTTGGCCAGCTTCAGTCCATCTCTGATGTGCAGCAGGCTGTTTTCCAAAGTGTCCAGGTCAGAGTGAGGACAGTTGCACTGAGGGAAGTCGACGCTGCACTCACACCAGCAGTCGTTGTTCCGGCAAACAAACTGGCCCTCTGACTTGCAGCCAATGTAGTTGAGGGCCGCCTGAATGAAAGGACTTTGTAGGTATCCTGGAAGGATAACCTGCAACCCTGTGGTCAGCAGGAGACAGAAGAAATGGAAAATAAATAGTTTAATCTACATGATTTAGTACTTCACTTGAAAGCTTATGTACAATGAGTCAAAAAGTAAAACTTGCCCTCAGATTGATTTCTCACAGGGTGATAAATCACCCTCAGTTTTCAAACAACAAAAATATTCCATAAAGCTTATTAAAGAAAGTAACTCAGTTCAAAAGCGTTCTTTTATAATCGTGGTCTAACAAACTATGAGGAAGAATGCTGACTTAATAATTTTACCAGCGGCATATATAACACATTCCACTGGGAAGGTAAACAACAATAGGTAAAAGCTAAGAAAGCTGACTGTAACATATAGATGAAAAGTTGAGTGTAAGAAGAAAGTGTAATTGTAAAAGCAGGGTGTAGTCACAATACAAAACAAAGCCTATTTGGTTCACTGCAGATGGACTCAAACATCTTGAAGCAGGCACAAACAGGACATGTGCTACGCCTTTTCATTGCATTAAGCTGCTTCTGGATTTAATACATTGTGAAGAATCCTTTATGTTTAAAAAAAAGATTGGATTTTGCTTAATGGTCAAAAGTCCTCCTGAAATTGTACATGACTATAGACCTGTTGGCCGGACATCCCAAATCATGATGGTCCCAGAGAAAATTCTGTTTGTTTACCTCAGCAAACATACAAGAAGCTATCAGGACCCCTTGCAGTTACTTATCGCAATGGAGTTGGAGGCAGGCAGTACTGTGAGGATCACATTCTTTGATTTCTCCAGTGCATTTAACCCAATTCAGCCTGAGTTAGTCTGTGAGAAACTTCAGAAGACTCAGGTAGAGGCAGTGACAATCGCCTGGATCAGAGATTGCATGACAAACAGACTACAGTTTGTTAGAGTTGTGTAAGCTGCAGGGGCGGATTTACCATTAGGCAATACTAGGCAGTTGCCTATGGCCCCATGTTCCTGGGGGCCCCCTATAAAACTCCTTTGACATGTAGGGTTAATACAGCTATTATTTATTTGTGCACATTATGCTTTTAAAATGCCACCAGAACGCTTATAATCTTAAGTGTGTCTCAGTGTCCACTATATTGGCTCAGTCCATTTGCTGCAAATGTTCAGAAAGGCTCCAAACAGACAGTGAAGAGCAGTGTTGCCAACTTAGCACTTTAGTCACTATATTTAGCCACATTTTACACCCCTTTAGCACTTTCATTTAAAAAAAAGCGACAAGTCTAGCAACTTTTTTCTGCTACTGGAGACTTTGGCGACAACATCTATAAAAGCAGCGAACTCTGCTCTCCAGAGCAAGTAGATTGGTAACCCCGCCTTCTGCTCTCCTCTATCTTGTCTGCTGTCATGATTCATGCAGCTATTGTTTAATCCAAATGAAAAATGGAGAACAGATAAGCAGATCATGGCCTGTCTACCGTGAAAAGGAGGACTGGGTTATTTACTTTTGCCGTCACCTTTTTGGAAACATAGGAAAAAGCAATCAGCTGAGTGCTTAGTGATTGGAAAAAAAATCTTTCATTCCTTTTGAGACAGCATGAAAAGTCAGCTGAGTACAAAACATATAGAGGAAAACAAAAAAAAGGGGACAAGAAGAGACGGACAAAACCTAGAATAAATAATTCTATTAACATTTCTCTATCTGCATAATGGGTCTGTTTTATGTGTTGTCTTCTCATCTCAGAGGGCCCCCTGCCTGTCTTTGCCTAGGGCCCCAAATTCCCTAAATCCACCCCTGGTCAGCTATCTAATCAAGTAGTCGGCAGCACAGTAACGCCACAGGGGACGGTACTCTCATAATTCCTTTTTACTCTGTTCACCTCTGACTTCCAGGACCAGACAGAGTCCTACTTGTTTGACTCTGCAGTCAAACAAAAATATGTTTTTGCTCTTCTCCCGACTGGTTTCGGCAAGAGTTTGATCTATCAATTGGCTCCTCTTCGTCGTCACTCTGTTACGTCAAACTGTATGCTTTGTTGATCTGATTGGTTTATTTGGCCCGTCTATCACCAACATAGGCCAATCAGCTAACCAGTATTTTCGCCCCTTCCCAAAATTACTGCAACGGAAGGTTTCCAGATGGATATGTGGAGCAAATCCATCTGGCGGAGTCAGGTTAACCAAACGCTACTTTAAGAACCTCTTTTTGAATAAAAAAGAACATGGGAGAACCAGAATCAACAATGTAAATGGGCTGAAGGAAGAGTTTAGGAGTTCAGAAGCCCTCACACTGAAGGAGGAATTACTGTATTGATGGAGCTATTCAAACACAAGGAGTAATCATTGAAATTAAGAGAAGTAAATGCGGGGAATGTATCACTCTCTGTCTAATGAATGTCAAAGCTGTGATTTATTGGGATGGATGGGTGCTCACAAGCAAATTAACAGTCACTAAATGTAATTGCACTCATGCATTAATTCACCCATAAGATGCCTGACCAAGTATTTAGTGATTAAACTGTACAGCACATGTTCATAATTTTTTACCCTATTTCTGTACTTTTCTTTTTCAATGATTTCATGTAAAATAACCATACCAAGCAGAGTGAAGGGTTTTCATTAGCTGTCATAAAAAATCAACTGAAATAAACCTTTGAAATATGTCTAGGTCTGTAATAAATTTATATGAGTTCTGCAAAACAGTAAAATGTCTCTTTGACAAGTTAATAATGTCCGTTTTTTTAATGGATTCTTGCTCTTAAGTTTTTCCACTACAGTCAAAATGTAGAATTCACAAGACTTAATGAAAATGAGGAGGACCACACAGAGAAAGAGGGGAGAGTTGGCCATGGAATCTGCTGTTTGTGTTGCCTCTACTAGGAGATGTTAACACAGATGGAGAGCTATGCTAAAAGGAGCTCCAGTTTCTTCTCAGATATATCGGAACGAGCTCGGGAGGAGCAAAGAGCAGAGTCGTTGCTCCTCCACGTCGAAAGGAGCCAGCTGACGTGGCTCGAGCATCTGTTCTGGAAGCCTCCTGGTCGCCTCTCTCGTGAGGTGTTCCAGGCACGACCTACTGGGTGGAAGCTTCAAGGAAGGCCCAGAACACGCTGGAGGGACTATGTCTCTGAGCTGGCCTGGTGTCGCCTTTGGGTTCCCCGCCAGAGCAGCTGGAGGAGCTGTGTGTCGATCGGGAAGTCTGGGGATCTCGGCTTCTGCTGAGTTACAAACACTGAAAGATGCTTTATTCTCAATTTAAACAGTTGTTCATTGTCCTCTGATTTTTATTTCATTTTAGCTTCTGCTAACGGTGTTGGCTTTGGTTGATACAATGAGAGAGTGGCGGCCTAGTGGTTAGGGCATAGGGCTTTGAATCCTGAGGTTGTGAGTTTGATCTCCCACTCCCACAGACTTCCCCTGAGCAATACCCTTACACCACACTGCTTCCCGGGCACCGCACAATGGCAGCATCACAAGGGGATGGGTTAAATGCAGAGAAATAAATTCTCTCTTCACAAAACAATCACATTTGTTTGTTTCAGTAATGCAGTGCGGCATTGCCTAAATTAACAATAGTCAAATGTTAAAAATACTTTAAAAAACCACTCTGGTAATATTAATCTTTTTTGGTTAACTCTGTAGGTTTCAGTCCAGAAAGGCATTACTGCATGATTTTTTAGGTAAAAAAAATTGCCTCCATTGATGAAAAATACAACAAAGTCTATGTAATTTTTTGAGATAATTATGAGGTTTTGAGTCTCATAAACTTTATATTTTGTTAGTTGATAGGAATATTACAAAATATTTAGGCCAACATGATTAACAAGTTGTGGATCCCTTTAACTAGAGAGGATCAAATTGATACTCAAATAATAAAAAAAAATGCAAAAAGCGTAATTTCCTCCCAGTGGTGATAGGGAAATTTTCATGAGGTAGCCAGGTAGGCTCCAATGCAAACTGATAGGTTTTCTTTTAATTACATAGAATACACATAGGTGAATGCAGAGACGAACTCTCCCCTACGAAACCTAAAGACGAATTCGTAAAAGAGCACATAATCATTTATTTGTCCTCTTTATTTTTGGTATACTGCTATGATTTGTTTTATTTTTTTTTTGCAACATTTTTGTGTTGAGAAAGTAGGATTTTTCATATGATGCTGCCACCTTAAGGTTTAGAGTAGACATGTTCCAGGGTATCCAATTACATCCGAGGGGGAACAATATATCATAGGGCAAGGGTGTAAGTTGGTGTGGACAAGTCATAGGGTAGGGAGCTACCTGCGCGACGCCTTTTTTTTGTTAGAAAGGACAAAGCCAAAAAAATGTGAATAACATAAATTAATTTAATGCTTACAGCTGAAAACAGAACTGTTACAATATTCACTTATATATTTTGTGCAAAAATATCACATAAATCTAAACTTAACAAGTTTCCCCAAAAATAAGCTGATACAAGAGACAAAAAACCAAAAACAATCAAAGCTTTCTACATCAGAAACTGAACAACTCTGAACAGGAAAACAGATTCAATATATAAAACTGTAATGGACTGAAAGTCCTGTTTTTTATGTGGGAAATTATTTGCGTGACTTTTAGTATAATTCTGATATATTGGCGCTTTTGTCTCTTTTTCTATGGCAACGATACTGAATGTGGTGTAGCTGACGTAACAGGGCGGGACAAAAGTGGTTGGAGGTTTTTTTTCCAACAGTTCAGTTATATTTTAAATAAGGTATTCACTTATTTTACACTATTCTCTATTCTTTTACTACTTTAAGTCTCTCCTGACTAAAATTGGGTCTTAATATTTCCACAAGTCCCTCTAACCTGCAAGTCTGAGTCCACTGCTGTCCCTGAATCGGTTAGCATGCTTGTGGCCTGCTGAATGACACATATACAACAATAGAACCTTAAAATGTCCTTTATCTCACACATCTCATCAAGAATATTTTCGCAACACTGTTTGCATTTTACCTGAAAATCCGTAGCATCTTCCACTTAGGAAGCGATCTGAATTATATTTGTTCCCTGTTAGAAAGAAGAATAACCTGCATTAAAT